CACCTACTTGCCTCTGTTAAAGTTTTCTCTTCATATTCCCAGAAACTAACACAATGCCTGGCACATAGTAGGTGTTTAATAAATGCTTGTTGAACTGAATTGAACTTGGTATTAATACCACAATTATGCTTCTGCTTTCCTTTGATGTTCTGCATTAATCTATTGTTTTGTTTCTGTAAGAGATGGAAATCCACAAAGTCTGGGGAATGGCAACTCCTACATTGCCAAGCTGTGAAGAAGCAACTGGAAAGAGAAGGGAAGGACCACATATTAAGCACCTACTATGTGCCAGGCACCGTGCTAGGGATAGAAATATGAAAATGAAGTCATCTTTGAATTCAAAGAGCTTACATACATTAAAAAAAAAAACCCAGCACACATACATATAGCTTGATAGAAAAATCAAGGTAAATATACAATAATTTCAGAAGAAAGGCACTAGCAGCTGGGTGGATAAGCCACAGTTAAGAATTAGCCATTGAGATAAGATACAAAAAGGGATTTTGCCCTCTTCTACAGAGACCACCATGTTGTTTTTAACTGCTAAGTTGTGCCTAGGGGCAGACTTCATTTTTTTGGCTCTGGCACATCGGTTGTCTGCTGAAGACATCACTGTAAACAAACAAAATAGCCGTGTCCTTATGTTATACATCCTAGCCTTAGTCACTTTCAACTCATTTTTAGAGCCACTGACCCAGGCAGACATCATTAAAAGAGTGTGGCAGACTAGTGTAAGACATCATAGAGATGAACCCCTGAGCCATACCTCCTTCTGACCTTGAGAACCCATTACCGGAAATAACACTGAACTCAGTTCAAAGACCCATATTCAGAGGTCTAGCTAGTATTCACTTAAAAGGGGAGACCATCTAATGCAGGGGTTCTTAACCTTTTACGTGTCACAGACCCCTTTTGTAGTATGGCGTATGAACTCCTTCTCAGAATAAGGTATATGTGTGTGAACACATATATATATATATTCAATGTATATATGTATGTTTATATGTGTGTGTATATATATATATATATATTTTTTAAAGAAATGCTAACTTTCAGTTAAAGATTAATCAAAATGAAGATGTGTTTTTGCCTCATCCAAGCTCCCAACTACATTGACCCCCTGAAATCTATTAATGGATGGGGGGTATGAATCCTAAGTTAAGAACTCCTGATCTGAAGGTTACAACTAGTTGGAGCATTTGTCTCCCCTGGGAACAGGAGCAGGTGATGAAAACATTTCTTTCCTACAGTTTCAGACATGGTGCTTTCTCCTATGGAAATAAGAGAGAAGAACCCGACTGATGGCTGGAGTTTGAAAGACAGCTAATGAATATGCACACATTTATATTTTTGTCTACCCATATACAAGAGTATATACAAGTGACCTCCCAACCTGACAAGTCATTATTACAATGCCATTGTGAAGTGCACTGTCATGAAGGCTGCATGAGAAACATTTCTAATGGAGGTTAATTCAGTCATTTGGGACAACACTGAATAACCACACTCTGTGAAATCAAGTAGAGTATTATCTACATACAAAGTAATACTCAGATACAAGGGAATAACATTTTTTACTAGTTTATAAATGAACAATTAATGTGTGGTACTGTTTTATACATTTTTCGAGTCATAAGAATAAAATTTTGCAAAAACATGCTTTTCCATTCAATTTATGCTTTCATTCCTTGATCAAAGAGAGTTTGGCTTTATTATTCCCCGCTTCTATCAACTGTGCAGAATCAAAAGAGCTATAGAAAAATGATGTGTTCTATTCGGTCCCATCATCCATCATTAACAAAATTGCCCAGCTACATTCTATTCCTTAACCTGGTAGGGATATACAAAGCCGAAGGTGGTCAGAGTGATTTCCAAGCACAAATTTGAGTTTAGAGCACCAGCTACTTGGAAAAATCACATTTTGTTTTAAAATATATGTGTGTGTGTGTGTGTGTGTGTGTGTGTGTGTGTAATTTGCTAATGGAAAGGTCAAATACAGAAACAGAGAAAGTCTGAATTGGGAACCAGGAGTTCAAGGTTTTAGTTCTGACTTAACAATTAACTAATTGGAATACTTAAGTCATATCCTCTCTAAACCTCAGTTTTCTAATAGGTAAAAGAAAGAGTTTGGATTGTGTGATTTCTACCATCTCTCATAGTGTTATCAATTCTATAACTCAATTAAAGATAGTTTGATCACTCAGTGTATGTCAATTGCAAGAGTGCTAGGACCATGCTTTGCGCATTGTAGGTACAATAAATATTTACTAAATGAATGATGGCATACATACTAGTTAACTAGGAGGAGGGGGGAAAGAAAGAAAATTATAATAAATTAGCTACAGATTATCTTCATTCTGGCAGATGCACTCGGAAATCCCAAAGGTATTTTTTTTCCAAACCATGGAGGCCTTTTTCAGCTCTTTGAAAATCAATGTCAACCGTGAATTAATTTTAGCCTCATACAACTGGGTTGACAAGAAGAGCTTGCTCACTTTTCCTTAATCTCCTAAAGTAGTTTTTTAAAAGCCCAACCTTTAAAGAAAACCAAATTAAATAACAAGAAGAAGGAACTGAACTATAAAAATGTTGGTTTGGCAATGAATACATTGAAAAATGAATGCATTGATTACATTGATTTGCCAATAAGAAATGCTTGGATTGTCATTTTCCCCATCTTAGCCAACCCAGGATCATACAACTTCTTACTAAAACAGCAGGCTCCTTAGGAGAGTCAGGAATAAGAGACATTCATAGGCATATATTGAGCATCTCATATACTATTGATAGCTATGGTGCTCTTTTTTAAATGACGGTTCTAATTTCTCTGGGCAAATCTGTCTCATATAGAGTAATCATACAAATTCCTACTAATTTTAGAAAGAGCACTAGACTTGGAGGCAGAGGGGCTGGGTTCAAATTCTGGCTCTGATTCTTACTACGTAGGGACTTTAGGCAGTTTTCTGAGTCTCGGTTTCTTCACCTGCAAATTGAGTTGTGCCTTTTAGGTCTGTTCCCTGTTCCATAGCTCTCATCTACTAGGAAATCCATCTGTTTATTGGTTTTTAAGAAGTCCCAACTAAGTTCTCAATAAAATATTTTGTTAAAATCTGAGAAACACCGGGTATTGGAAGAAAAAAATGTGTCTGTGTTAGGAATGGTAGAGGGAGAAAAGGATAGCAGAGAGCCTCTATCCAAACCAGTTCACCTAACAAATGGAAGAAGCAGAAATGCAGAATATTGGCCAGTCTGTACCCAGAGCTGGTCCAAAGATTCTAATTTCTCATATTTAGGGAGTTTTTTCCTTTCCCCAAGAAGCAGGTGACAAAGTGGGAAATAAAGCAAAATGAATCTATTCTCATTCGATTTTGACTACTATCTCATATTGTGTTCAGATATTGGATTTCCCTGGAAGCTTCCTATGTCACCATCATTTTATTGCTTCCCCAGGAACTAAGGGCCTGTGATCAGAGTGTGCTTGGCCCGAGGTATCTCAAATGGATGACGCAATTTGACTGGGCTCTGTAGCCAGCAGTGGTCCCTAAATAAGTTAGTGTTCATGTGTAGGTGATATTTTGAAGCTTGATCGGAGCCACAAGACCAGTAATGGTCTTTGCCTAGAATAATGATTTTATATATAAAAAAAAAGTAGGAGCAAACTGGGGTTGAATACTCTTGCTGGCACTACCAACCCAGAGTGGGGAGTACTTGCCTGCCTAAGGATGCTCTCTCTGGTAGCAAAGGGGTAGAATGTTTCCCCTGGACTCCCTCTCACTCATTTCAGTTTATGCTGTTAAGAAAACACCTGCCTCTGACTTTTCTTTTACGCTTCACTCTGGCAAGTTTCTTTCTTCTCGGCATTAAAATGTCACACATAAACCAAAGGCCTGTCAGGGCCCCCCACACTTAAGGCTGGCCCTTTATGTCTTGCTGACACAAACTTGATCAGCCTCCTTCAAGGCCTGGGGTGACACTGTAATAAAACAGCACTCTTTGGTTTGAATTATGCTATAGCATAGGTCAGTCCTCCTTTCTTATAAAGACAATGCCCAGGCTTACAGGCCCGGGGCTTTATGACAGACAGAAGATAGCATGGCCTTTGATTACTTTCCATTTTCTCGAATTTAAAAAAAAAATGCCATTACAGCTGGGTTTCTCTTACCCCTCCCTGCCACCTCCCCCCCACTTTCCCCTCTTCCTCCTCAGGCCATCCGGTCTAACATTTAGAACAGGAAGCTGAAAGCTATGAATGCTGTGTCCTCACCTGCATGCTAATATTGGTGATTTCCTTTCTGTTAGGGGGACCTCAACTCTGTTCTATACAAGGGAAATGCTAGATATGAGAAAATAATGAGCTCAATTTTCTGATGAGGGAGGGAAGCTTTTGTTTGTTAATGAAAGTGTGAGGGAACTAGAAGAATGGTGGAGTTATTAGTAGAATGAATGAATGAATGAATGAATGAGTGGAAAAGATTATATTGAATGCGTACTATATGACAAAGCACTTTGCTAAGAACTAATACTAATAAGAAACTTAGAAAATCTCTGCTTTTAATAAGTTCACATTCTAATAGGTGAAGGAAGTACGCGTAGGAGGTTTTAGCTGCAAGTTAGATGGAAAGGGCCCATACTTCTTAAGATACAGGGGCAAAAGAGCTGGTAATGCATGTTCTTTACTGTCATTTTCACTGATAAAACCATATGTATTTCTGATGTTGTATGAATTGACACTGCTAAGGAATTTGGTGGTGAGAAAGAAGTCTCAGGAAGGAGGAGTTGAGGTGATAGGAAGGCAAAGATATGATAAGATTGGTTTTATAGAAGTAGGAAAGCTAATTTGAATCAGCTGATTGTTAAATTTTCAGTATTAGCCTTTACAACTCAGAAATAGGTAAATGTTACAAATGAAAACTTGATTTATGCTTTTGTTAATTGTAGACTTAAGACAGTGAGGAAGACAATTTTAATAATGCAGAGAGAGCTGGTTGTTAAGCATTTACCAGCACACCCTTGATTTCAGACTTGTTGAGTCTTACTCTTTGGTGGAATATCCCAGTGAAAGTATCCAGCAGACAAGCTTTTAAAAGTCAGTCTGGAGCAACCTTGAGAAAAAAAAAAAGAATAGAAGAAATGAATCTGGGAGTTGTCAAAAAAAAGAAAAGATCCTCTTTTGTTATTGATGGCCAAAACTTTAGCCAGTTTGGAGAGCTGATAACACTTAAAACAATTAACCCATGAAGTGGGTGGAGGGCCCTGAAGGGAAACCACATTTGAAATGTAAAGAAAGGGGAGTTGGGTTGGAGGCACAGACAGAAAGAGCATGTTCCAGGTTTTATGAGTGGCAGCTGGGTCTAGGTGCTGGTTAGGTGGAAGTAGGGTAATATGTTGTAGAGTTCCCTTATATGAAATATCTCAAAAATCTGAACAACTGAAAATTGCACTAAGACTTTTGGGACGTGCTGTTTACAGTCACAGGTATCTTCAGCAAGGGGAAGCTTTGTCCAGTAGATTGTGCATTCTTTGATGATCAAGGATTGAATCTTTCTATCTTTGTAGCTCTAGCACCTAACACAATGCTTAGCATGTAGTAGGTGCTTAATAAATTCTTTTTTTTTCCCTCAAGGCAATGGGGGTTAAGTTACTTACCTGGGGCCACACAGTAATAAATGTCAAGTGTCTGAGGTCAGATCTGAAGTCAGGTCCTCCTGACTCCAGGGTTGATATTCTATCTACTACACCACCTAGCTGCCCTACATGCTAAATACATTTTTGTTGCTTGATAATCAGTACTGGTTCATTGAGGAAAATGAGTCTCTCAATAGAATCAAATGGGTGGAATGAGAAAAATTATTTCTCTTATATTAATAACTAATGAATATTGGGGAGGGGTTTTTTTTCCTTCCTATTTCCTCATTCAAAGTCCAGTCTCTCAATTGATCTTGGCCAAAAATTTACTCCACGTAGACCATCTTATCTAGGTGGAATTGTTACCATATCCAACTAGAAAATCTTACAAAGAGAATATCTAGGCAAAAAAAATTATGTATTGAACCTACTGGGGGTGGTCTGTGTAGAGAGGTGTAAGAGTGCCATAATCAAAGTCATCATCCCCCGACCCCTCATTAGCATAGGTCCGCCTCTCATAATAATCATTCTCTCATTTTTAATCAATCAGAGTTGATTACTGCTTGTTGAGAAACACCTTGTCTTCCAAGGGCATATAAGCATTGAGAGTCAGGCAAAGTGAGATCTGGGAAAGACCTTAGCTTGAAAAGGCCAAGGTCTCTCACACCATCTGGGGCCATCGCCAGTGGCACTAATTGATATCTCACCACTGGACTCAGATGGCTCCAGAGGAGAAATGGAGGCTGATGACTTTGCATAGCCCTGCCTCACTTAAATCCAATTCACTCGCAAGTCACGATGCCATGGTACTCTTCGAGAATGAAGGATAAACAGCAACAGCAACAGCGAGCTTTGAGAGGCCCCTCTGATTTGAGAGAAAGCCAAATGACCATCCTTTTATTTATTATTAACTGGTCATAATTAATAAAGCCATTAATTACCCAGAAATCATATCTCTCAGACTTTTCGTATGTCACAATACACAACAATTCAATAAGCATTTATCACTTCCCATTATAGTAAGTGGCTCAGAGCATTTGTCTCAGCTGTGCTAAGCAGAACAAAGGGGGAATTCACCCCAATAACTGAGGACTGAGGGCAGCAAGAAAGCTCCCTCCCACTCCCCCTACCCAAAAGAGGCTACCACCCAACAGTGTTGGTTAGGAAAGACTGAACCAAGTAGAAAAGGAAGAAAAGCTCAGGCTCGAACAGGATTTCAAAAGCCTGTCTCATTAATTCACCGAATTATACAGTCTTAGAATTAGGATGAACTTTAAAGGCCATCTAGTCTATCACTAATAACATCCTCTGCTTAAAAATCTCCAAGAAGAGGGTGAGCTCACAGATGAGACAATTCATCCTACTTCAAGACAGCTGTTATTGTTAGAAAGATCGGTTTTCCTCACAAAGAGCCAAAATCGGTCTCTCAGCAACTTCCACCCATTGTTCTGAGTTCTTCCCTCTAAAATCAAGGAAAGCAAATCTGATCTTTCTTTCTTTGTCATGTGTTCCAGAGGACAGAATTTCAAACATTTCAGGGGCTCAGCCCTTTTCACCTGGATTTTTGTAATCATCTCCTTGCTTGCAATCTCTCCTTTCTTCCATAAATCTAGTCTCCACAGAGTTGCCAAAATAATCTTCCTAAGACACAAGTCTATGTCATTTTCCTGCTCAGAGACCTTCAATGGCTCCCTATTACCCCAGGATAAAATATAAAATCCTCTCAGCCTTGTTTAAGACCACCCACAATCTACAACCTACCTTTTCAGCCTTCTTTCATGTTATTTTCCTTCACACCTTCTACAGCTAAACATATTCCTTCTCCATACTTGTTTCCTTTTTTTCATACCTTGGTATATTCACATAAATCATTCCCTATACCTTGGGGGTGAGGGGGGGCGGGCATCTCCAGTTATCCTGTACATAGTAGGTGCTTATCTAGGCAGCAGTATTCCTTCCTCTAGAGGAGAACAAAGAATAAGTCCCAGAGATTGTACTCAATCTGTGTAAATGTAGACTCTGGCTTCTGGACCATCAGTCACAAAGGTACTTAAAATAAGACATTGGAATGAGTTTTACTTGAGGCAGCCAGGTGGGCCATTGGATGGAATTCATATCCATCCTCAGACCTTTACTGTGTGACTCTGGGCAAGTCACTTAACCTCTGTCTGCCTCAATTTCCTCACATGTTAAGTTGGAATAATAATAGCATCTATTCTCTCAGGGGTGTTCTGAAGATCAAATCAGAGAATATTTGCACTTTGCAACCTCTGAAGTTGTATATAAATGCTAACTATATTATTATTCATTTTCTCTACAATTCTAAGTTCTAAGTGTTCTCTTTCCCCAAATGATCTTATATTTACTTAAAGAATCATAAAATTGAGAGTTGGCAGAGACCTCTTTCTAGTCCAACCTATACAGTAAAAGACTCCCTATTATAATATCATCATCATTAAGTAGCATTTATTTATCCTTTTAAGGTTTATAAAACACTACAAATATCTCATTTGCTCATCATAACAACCCTGGGAGATAGGTGTTATTATTATCTTTATTTTACAAACAAAGAAACTGAGACAGACAAGAGGTTAAGTGATTTGCCCAGAGTTCTGCTAATAAGCATCTGAGGCCAGATATTGACTCTTATTAAGTCCAGTGCTCTATCCAATGTACCATCAAACTGCCTCTTTAACATACCTTATGTCCAGTTCCTACTGGAACTACTCTAAGGAGGAGGAAACTACTTTTTCTTAAGTCAGCAATTACCACTTTTAGACAGCTCTAATTTTTTTTTTTGAGGCAATCGGGGTTAAGTGACTTGCTCAAGGTCATACAGCTAGTAAGTGTCATGTGTCTGAGGTGAGATTTGAGCTCAGATTCTCCTGACTCCAAGGCTGGAGCTTTATGTACTGTGCCACCAAGCTGCCCCAATAGCTTGAATTGTTAAAAAAGAAACAAGGTGGTACAGTGGATAGAGTGCCCGGCTTGGAGTCAGGAAGACTCATCTTCCTGAGTTCAGATCTGGCCTCAGACACTTATTAGTTGTGTTACCTGGGCAAGTCACTTAACCCTGTTCCCCTCAGTTTCCTCATCAGTAAAGTGATCTAGAGAAGGAAATGGCAAACCACTTTAGTATCTTTGCCAAGAAAACCCCAAATGGGGTCATGGTCAGAAACAACTAAAAATGACTGAACAACACAGCAATTGTTAAGAAGTTTGAAATTTTTTTCCTGACATTGATCCTAAAATCACCTCTGAAACTTTCAACCATTACTCTTTTTCCTCTGAAAGACAGTCCTTCAAATATACTTGAAGACAGCTAGCATGTTCAAAGTATTCTTTTATCCAAATTAAATATGCCCAATTTCTTTCATATCCTTATTGATTAACTAATCCATTCAATGAGCATTTATTTAGCACCTGCTATGAGTTTCAACAGTGTTACTTACCTGTGTTTTGTATCCATGGGAGAATGTAATGGGCAGGGAGGACTGTCTAGAATGTTTTTTTTTCTTTTCTCTTTTGTATGCACAGCAACCAGCACAATACTTTGCATATAAAAAGTATTTGATAGATATTCATTCAACTCAATAGACTTGAACTGTGAGGTGGTTGTGTCAGAGAAAACAAAGGAGGAAAATTTCAATAATGAAAGGGTGATCAATAAAGTCAAATGCTCCTATTTGTTATTTATAATAGAAATAAGCTGGAGAATATTAGCCCAATTATTGGACTGAGCAAATATAAATATATGAATGTGATTAAATAATATTACATGATATAGAATAACATATACTGGAGGACTTAAACTGATGTTGCTGCAAAGGCAAGAAAGCAGAATCCAAACAACAACATACAAAATGACAACAATAATTTAAATGAAAGACACCATAAAAGGTAGTAGAATTTAGGTCAAATACAATGACCAATGCTGGTACCAATTGGCTGAGGTCAAACTCACTTTCTTTCTCTTAACAAATGACCAGTTAGAAAAATAGAAAATTAGATGTACTGTCAGTCACAATCTCTGTACTTATACTAGACCATTTTGCTTAACTTTTCTTTTGTGGGAATGTATTATGGCGGTTATTTATCAGTAGACTTTTAATGGATCAAAGCAAAATATATCAACATGATTAATTCTTAAAATTGATAATTATATATTACATGATGTACTACAATGTTTGAGAAATGAAGAAAAAAGTAGCAAAGGCTGCAGAGGAGTCAACAAGGATGAAGGTCTAGAGAAAAAATAATTTAGTTATTGCTGGCTAGAAGGTTATTGAGAAAACAAATTCTGTAGAGTGGTGGGAGCTGAAGCCAAATGAAGGGTTGAAGAGGGGATACATAGTTTGGAAGTAGAATAGGAGGTAGGATTGTTAGCTGAAAATGAATGACTTGAATATGGCAGCTGGATTGGAAGGGAACAGAAGAGATTTGATATAGACAGTATGGAAAATGTCACAGGAAGTCAAGATATGGATAAAAGGTGCTAAACAGCACTGTGGAATCACTTGAAATTAGTTAAAATTATTAGAATGGATATATACTCTAAGGCTTGTGACATTTTCCTGTGCAGTACTTAGAACTTCATAATAAGAGCAGAGAAAATAGATTATGTCAGATACCTAGATTTGAATATTGACACAGATGACATGTCACAAAGGGAAGGGAGAAGGGTTTTTTCTTTGTGTTGGACAAGGCACCATTGAAATGGCAAACTATGCAGTCTGATTTGAGAAGTACAGCAAGTAAAACTCAAATGGGACTTATGGACTAGAAACTTTAGAAAGAGTTGAGAGACAAGAGGTCAGGATAAGGGCAAAGAGTAACTTCACTTTATCCCTGGACTTAACTCATTGGATGTACCTCTCTCTGCCCCTCTCCTCCACCCTCCTCCCCAGCACCACTGCAGCCTACTTTCTCCCAGAACCTACATTTGAGGAGGGTCCCTGGCCAACCATGTCTTCATTCCTCTACAGGCTGTACACCTCACTTTCTGGACTTTTTCTACCATACCCTCTCACCAGTTACCTCCATCTCTTCCCCTCCCCATTTTTAGTTTCTATTTATGTGATATCTTCTCCCATTAGAATGTAAGCACCTTGAGGGCAGGGATTGTATCTGCTTGTTTTTGTATTCTCATTGCTTAGCTCAGTGCCTGTCACATAGCAAACATTTAAAAAAAATAGTTGTTGCTTTGACTTCACTTTATTTGACTTGAGTAAAGTTCAGGAAAATTTGGGGAGTGGCAAATTTGAAATATCTTCTTCAGATGTCTACTGTGTGGTAGGTAACCTTCCTTCCTACCCAGCTCAAAATTCTACCATTTGTGTTGCTAATGGGCTAAATAACAAGATATTGTAAAATACCTCCTTACTAATGTATAATAAAGCCCTATTCCATTTATATACTAACCTAGTTGTGTTTATCCAATTAATTAGGTCACATTTGGGCCCCTGAAAAGAGGAGATACAGGAAGGAAGGTTTGGATCTTGCCAGGCAGACAAGCATGAAAGCACTAGTCCAGCATCAGTCCAAGAAAGACAGATTGAGTATGAAGGTCCCACAAATGAAAGCAGGTGCTGAATAAAACTGGTAACTTGCTTTATCACAGTGTCCAAGAGAAGCACCTCACAGTGAGTTGAAACTGTTAATGCAACTTGAATTCACAACTGTCATTGCATTCCTTCCAAGGTAAACTGTACAGTTTAAGGTCTCCTCAAATGAAGATCTCTTATTGGCCTACTAGGATTTAGGTTGCACCAGACCATATGTAGGGGAGTGGGACTGGGAAGAAAGGTGTCTGCTTTAAATAAGGAAAGCTCACCCACCTCCAAGCAGAAATACCATTAGCCCTCAATTTCTTTTCTTCTTTGGTTAGCTGCCAAGATTCATCCCAGGAGGTCGTTATTTCCTTTCAAGAGACCAAAAAATCAATCACTTAATTCTTGGTGAAATTGAGGTGGAAGATTAAAGCTGATTAAAGCGGATTATAAACACAATCCCTTCTGCCAAGTTTCCTGGGGACCCATAGAAACCAGTCAAACCTTCATTAAATCAATTATCAGCATGCACCTTTGAGACACAGTTTCTATTTTGTTTACTCATCTTCCTCTTCTATTATGAAACCAAACCTGGGACATTAGAAGAGCACATGGTGGGAGGATCCATGGAAAATCTCACAGCCTTCAAACTAGATAGGAACTGGTGGCAATCCATATGTTTTTTCATTAGCTGCTATGCTATCACTATCAGCTCCAAGATCAAATATAAAATCCTCTGTTTAGCATTCAAAAGACTTTATAACTTAGACCCCCACACACACCTTTCCAGTCTCTTACTTCCCCTTCCCTACACACACACACACACACACACACACACACACACACACACTTAGACCCCCCCCAAACCTTTCCAGTCTTCTTACTTCTCCTCCCCTACACACACACATACACACACACACACACACACACACACACACACACACACACATACACACACACACAATGATTCAGTGACACTGGCCCCCTTGCTGTTCCTCAAACAAAACATTCTATCTCCAGACTCTGGTCATTTTCATTTGCTGTACCCTCATAAATAGAATGTTCTCCTTCCTTATCTCCTCTCCTGGCTTCCCGGCTTCCAAGTACTACTTTCTATAGGAATCTTTTCCCCATCTCTTAATGCCAGTGACTTCCCTTTGTTGCTTATTTCCTATTTATCCCCCATGTAGCTTGTTAGTACATAATGGTTTAAATGTTGTTTCCTCTATTATATTGTATCTTCAATGTTGAGAACAGTGTATGAGTTCAATAAATGTTGACTGACCGACTGACTAATTGTGCTGGCTCACATTTTTCATCAGAGATAGAGCAGATATCAAAGGCTCTTCCAAAAGTCTACTTGCTTTTCAATTTGACCAACTTGTATGTTGAGATCACTTGTTTCTGAGATAGGAATGGGAAACTGAGTGTGTTCTCTTGGTGCAGAAGATTGACATAAATCTACCACCAGTAAGCTGTAGGATGCCAAGGGTCAACATAATAGAGAAGTTTCAAAGCATTACTATCGGCAGCTCTCCCACACTAAATGAAAGAGCATTTAATCAGTACTGTGATGAATGGCACATCTGCCTAGGTAGCATAGCTGCCAAGGATTCAATAGGATATACTGTTACTACTCAATAAAATGGCTAAATATGCCATTTTAAATGTCTGCCTAACACCAGGTATGAAGTAGGGTTTGACAACATAAAGTCCTACTGTGTGATCTCCCTGTCATTTCAAGCTGGTTTCAAGTCTTTCGTGAATGTTAATTGAGTCAATAATGCCTTCATGCAGTTTTTTTTTTTGCAGTATTTTAAGCTCAGGTAACAATGGTTCATTTTTAGAACAATTCACAAAATGGGAACAAATTATGGACAAAATTAATATGAAACTGAGATTTTAATCACACAAAAGGCAAGAAATTTAAAGTTGCAATTCCCAATACAACTACAATCAGGCACCCTGGCAAATAGTTAGCATTTTCATTAACACATATGACGTTAGTATTCTATTCTACAAGTGCAAAATGTTCAGCAATATTTGCTCTGGGAACCATTACTTATATTTTCTGACATTTACATAACTGAAAACCTACAATTAAGTATTACCTTTATACACTTACTTCTGCTTAATCTCTGTTCTTCCTTCTGTAAGGAAGTCAGTGAAAAAGAAAAAGAGCTGTGGGCCTCCCCTTGGTATCAAACACATTTTCTTCAAAAGATGTATGATTTCATTAATAGATTGATTCTATCATTTGAGTTGTCCCTTACTTGTTTTTTTCCTCATTATCCCTCCTTGATAAGTCTTCTTCTGGGTCTAGGGTCTAAACTTAAGTAGGCTGGTCCTTAGATGACAGACATTGCTGAGCCTAAGCTCTGCTGGTATAGATTTTACAAGCCCAGGGTCACCTCCAGAACATTATTAATCCTCACAGAAGGACCTCAGTGGCTGGGCACAGTCCTTCAGCTGCTAGTCACATAACTTTATGAGGGATCATGGCTCTACAGAGAGACCCAATTAAGGCTTCATATTGCATCACCTGGTCTGTCTAGTTTCTAGTCCAAGGAACAAGATGCCCTTCATAGGATAAGCTCCTCACTTCTAAACCTACCCCCATACTGCCAAATTGAGACTTGGCTGACTCTACCTCCCTCAACCTCCTTTCTGCTCTCACTGTAGTGTTGAAGGGTGGAGAACCAAATTCTTTATCTATCTATCTATCTATCTATCTATCTATCTATCTATCTATCTATCTATCCATCTATTTATGTATCTATTTTTCATTCCTGACATTTATTTTAACAAACAGTTGAATCCTCAAGATGAACTAGATGCTACAACAGCTGCTCTCTTGGGTTTAGGTGTTGTTCCTTCAAGGAATCCATTCCTGAATTGGTGATAGACAATTTTTAGGTACCTCATTCGACCAGTACTAGTGGTGTTGCATCACTTAGCCTTTGCACTCCAATTATACTTTCTCATGTGTTAAACAGAATATTCACATTTGCCTCATGTTGACTTCCAAAGATGGTATGCCTTAGAACCACAACAATGGCACAAAGTGTATGTCTTATTCTGGTGCTTACCAAACGAAGAGCCCTCTTTGTCATCTCCCTTCTGCTGCCAGGACCTAAAAGCTCCCTTTATTTACTGAGAGCAGAAACTGGACTCTAAGCTCACTCCACTTCGCATCTGCTGCTATGCCTAGTTTCAGCTTCCCAGAAGGGTACTCCCTATTCCCCCCACCCTTTTTCCTGCCTTCTGTTGTATATTTTCTCCCCATTTGAGGGAGTCCTTTGAAGGCAGGGACTGTCATTCTTTTTATTAATTTTATTAATTTTTACTTATTATATTATTTATTTTTAATTTTATGAAATTTTTAAGTTAAATTTTTTATTATTAATTTATTTACTATTGTATCCCCAGTGCTTAGCACAGTACCTGGTATATAATATGAGCTCAGTAAATGTGCAATGGATTGGATTGGTAGGACAGCTCATTTTGCAAAAGGAGCTGGTCAGATGGGTCTAGAGTCTAGACCCTTAATAAAAGAATTTGTTCTGAGAAGTTTGAATTCAAAGGGCCACACCTGAGGACCTAGAGGGCCACATGTGGCCTCAGGATTGTAGGTTCCCCACCCTTGGGACTCTAGACCCAGAGGAAGACTTACATAAGAGGAAGTTTATACAATGACTGTGACTCTTATCAGGGAGGGATAATGAGGGGGGGAAAAAAACAAGTTAGTAGGAAAAATATCCTGTAAGAATGTGCTTCTTGATATTGCTGAGGCCATCCATGATACAGGGTAGATCCATTAAATTCAATGAAAACGACTTTTCTACTCCTACCATATGCTCAGACGGAAAGAGCAGCAAGGTAACAAGTTCAACATTTCTTTATTGCAGCAGCTTGGCATTCAATGTTTTAGCCTCTTGTAGGAGTAAGGTGTGTGAACAATAAGAGTTTATAGTTACGTGACTTTGGTTGTGTTTGGATTTATTGCATTTACACATGATATTCACTTTATATAAACCATCAAAATTTGCAAAAGTCACCTATTGTTCAATATCATTCAGTTCCTTAGTTGTTGGCAAGGTGGGATATATAATCACCCATTTGGCTCTATGTGGGTTAAGGGCAGAAGGCAATGGAGAGCAAGGTGGAGTCAGAGTGAGAGAGCAAGTTCCTACTAACTGCCTCCTTCATATGAAGAGGCATGCCCAAGCAACTTCTCCAGTGCCAGTTCTACTGAGGTGGATGGTGATTTTACAATTAAATGGGGAGGGGAGCAAGCTTTTTGAAATTTTTCTGAAGGACATTTCTAACAACTGTACACTACTGATAGAGATCAGAATACATGGAATAGGAAAGAAGAATGGAAATAAGCATTCATTATATGTCTACTATTTACTATATGTCTACGAGTGACTATGCCAAGACCTTTATGAATATTACCTCATTTGACCCTCACAACAACCTGGAAGGTAGGTGGTACTATTATCCTCATTTTATGATTGAGGAAAATAAGGCTGAAGAAAGTTAATTGAATTGCCAGGAACACGAAGGGTGTTTGAGACTTCTTATTTAAACTCCAGTCTTCCTGACTTTAAGTCCAGCACTGTCTGTATCATTGAGGTGCTCCTCGAATGTTAGAACTCCAAATTTCTCATTTTACAAATGAGAAAATAGGATAAAAGAAGTCATAATGTGCCTAAAATTATACAACTTAATATAAGAACCTGGACTACAGTCCAATTCTCCAGGATAACACTTGTTGTATCAACATGGTGTTGCCCATTGTGGGAGTGGAGGGCTGAGGGCGTTTCCAGATCTTATTGGCCTTTAGTCTTTAACCAGGAATCATTCACAGAATGTGACAGGTGCATAACAATGTTTAGAAAGGAAGACAAGCAGGCACGCATCCAAGAAGGAAGGTAAGAATGAAGGCAGGAAACAAAGAAGAAAAGAAGAAAGCAGGAAGGAAGGAAAGAAGAAAGGAGGGAAGGAGGGAAGGAGAAAAGGAGGGAAGGGGGGAAGGAGGGAGGAAGGAAAGACTCTTACTTGGTGTCCTGTAGGAAATGAGAAAAAGGAAGATGAAGTTAGAGAGGGAAGGAGGGAGGTGACCCAATGGATATTGTGCTAAACCTGACATCCAAAAAACCTATGTTTGAATCCTGCCTCAGACACTTAGTAGCTGTACAACTCTAGGCAAGTCATTTACTCTTTTTTAGACTCAGTTTCTTCATTAATAAAATGAGGGTAATAATAGCACCTACCTCACAGGATTGTAGTATAATGGCATAGCATAAATGCACTTTGCAAATTTTAAAGCACTATATAAATGCTAGCTATTATTAGCTAAAGAGGA